TTTTTTTTTTTTAAATATACTGGAAAAGAAAAACCGAAAAAACAGAATTTTCCTAAGCAGAAAGCAATTTCAGTACTTTATTTGCAGAAAATTAAGAAAAAACAACTTGTCTTCCCATGTTCTGTCAAAATTTTAACATGGGAAGAGAAAGACCGGCGACAACAAACGATAAATTTATATGCGAAAAATAATGAGCTAGCAGAGTGATAACAACAACCATTTAAAACATACCTAACAGGATTTGGGATATTCGTTTTTTCCTGCGATTTCGACGGCAACAATTTTAGCAATGGATTATCACCATAGGGACTCGAAGCTAGCTGAGCTTCAATCATTGCATTCTCGATCAGTGACTGAGTAACATTAGCACCCAGAACTATAGGCGCCGCCGGTGTAGCGCTGCCAATTGCTGCTTGCTGCGTGGAACCAAACACTACAAAACAGTGAAAAATTAATATTGAAAGATTCTAAAAATTAAATCTCATCCCTCTACCACCCAAAAAAACTTCAAATATGCTTAGAAACACTGACAAATTAAGCCCGAGAAATGTGAAAGCCAGAGGATCAGAATTTTACAAACACAACTCTCAGTGGTGTCCTAACTGTTATGCACCCCAAACTAGCCCTCAATTTTTCCTCCCACTCCCATCCCCAACAGTTCAATCATTCCTCACTTCTGATTACAAAATCCACTTACAGAAAACGATGAATTCAAAAACCTAGCAACCAAAATTACGATAAAACACAATTAAACGAAGAGAAAGTGATTGAATTGCTAAAACGCCCCTGACCAGGCTGAGTGGTCGTGGAACCAAACAACGAATTAGTTGGTTTCGCAGCTGTCGAGCCAAAAAAAGATGGTGCAGAAGATGTTTGCCCGAAAAGGCTGCCTGAAAAGTAGAAACAAAAAAAATAAAAAAACAAATTTTTGATTGGATATTGCGCAGATTATAGTGATTCGACGCGTGCTTAGCCTCAAATTTCCATCTAAAATTTTACACGGATTGAAAGACTAACCTGTAGTAGCAGTGCTCGTTCCAAACAATCCACCAGTTGCTGGCTTTGCACCAAAAAGTCCACCGCCCTGTTGGGTACCTAAAATTGCTCGTTTAATACGAATAATTTAATACAACGACCCTTTTTTCTCGAAAACTGGCGTCAATTTTTACGAGCCTTTTTAGCTCACCGTATGGAAATCTCGGCTCTGCAAGCTGCCATTTCCATCAACTTCGGGAAAAACCGTACAGCCTTAAGCTAAGTTCAAATGGTTTCTAGGCTGCCAGGCAATATTTTCTCAGCAACGATTTTATAACTGCTCAGTTTGTTAAGAAAAAGACAAAGCATGGGAACCATTTTCAATGATTTCCCAAGGCAAAACACGACCAGTAAAAGTTCAACCACAAAACAAATAATTCCACTCATCGCAAACTTATGCTCCAATCTGATTCTACTGCATGTTTTTATTTTTAAAAGAAACCGGAAATACAGCAGAAATTTACACTTTACAATCCCTCAGATAATTTTGTAGAGGAAACCAGTAACAGTTTTGCAAGGAGATGTTACCACCTGAGCTACTTCTGAATTCCATCGCCACTCATATGAAACGAATGTTTCGACTGACTTGAATTTTATCAGAAGAAAAGCAAACCGAAAGGAGTAGCACTGGTGGTAGTTGTGCCAAATCCACCAAAACCAGAAGTAGCGGGTTTGGCACCAAAAAGACCGGTTGAAGTAGTTGAAGTTGCCGGCTGTTGAAAGCCACCGAATGAGGAGAATGTCGACTGCGGTTGTCCAAAAAGTGTCGAGCCTGCTGCCTTCAAAATAAAAGAATATGAAATTAAAAGAATGAGAATCTGGTATTCACAAATTCAAAAATTCAGTGAAAAGACCGTGAGAAGTGGGCACAGAGAATCCATGCTAAGCAACATCTCATCACAATGAGTGAGTGGTGAAAAGCACTAAGTGATTTTCGGATATGGCAGGATTTCAGTGGCGGCCGCTCCTAGCAGAACCGGAGCGATTTTGTCATATTTTGTAAATTTTGATGGCACAGATCATGCGGCGTATACAATAGTTACATATACCCACGAAAAAAGCTAAGGTTGCACGAATCACAAACGTCGCGTGCTTCGTCGGTTACAAATTTGGCGTATATATTTCGCGTTTACAAAGAGAGTTCCAAATCCTTTTCATTGGTCCCTCAATAGAATGCGTTTCAGGCTTTATCCTGTCGGGTAGGAGCAAAGTTACCACCGAAGAGGGTGTGGAACGGAACTGAAGGAATGCATTTCTTACCGGGCTGCTACCAAACGAAAAGGGACTTACAGTGGTTGTGGCAGTGTTGAATGACGATCCACCAAACAGCGATGTCGGTTGGGTTCCGAATGTCTGAAACAGCACTTCGATCAATAAGTCAAATTTTTGGCTGAAATGCCCAATTCAGTTTCAAAAATTGATTCTCGAGTGTTCTACTGATTTCGGTTTCACGATTTTACACTTTTCTAATTTGATCTTAGATTTATGTATAATTCTTTCTTGATCTTCAACCAAACGTCCGACCGACAAAGTGTGTTATAACTGATAAAAGTGAGCCAAATGAATTCTTTTGAAAAGTTATTCAAAAAAGGAGTGAAAATTAAAGCTAATGGAACGACTGATCAAAATCACACTCATAATGAGACCGTACAAGTAATCACATCCGCCACTTGAATTAGCTTAATCAATTTTGAGAAAAGGGGGCATCTAATGGTCAGAGAAAAACCCCTGAAAGACCAAGAAGCACACAGGCCGTCAAAAATTTTCTTTAAATGTGCACACTCAAAGTATCAAAAATCATAATAAAAATCTGTGTATGTGTCCTGTTTGATAAATAAACATGTCGTATTGCACTGTGTTCGAAAAAGCACGCATGTTAACACTCGATTTGTCCTCTTTAACTCTCCTCTTCTAGACTACTTGACGCTGAAACGCTTTAACTGCACATGCGCTCCTTCTGGGGATACCATTTCAGAGGACAAACAGCCTAGGGACAAGAGATGGTTGAAACAAAACGAAAAGCAGCACAAATTAAACAAGGCAAGCGAAAATACCGTGGCTGGTTTGGCGCCGAACAAGCCGGTGCCCGTCTGCTGGGTCTGCCCGAACGGTGATGTGGTGGTTGCTGCACCAAACAGACCGCCGCCGGTTGCTGGCTTACTGCCAAACAGTGATGTGCCAGTTGTTGGTGTTCCAAATAGTGAAGAACTTGTTGTTGTTGTGCCCCCAAAGCCAGTCGTTGCTGAAAAAAGTCACATCTATCAATTCGCTAGTAGTGTTATAATGGTAACCACTATTAACGAAGCCAAATCGGAAGATCTGCCATTTTATAAAATACTGCGCTGTGATTAGACATCCAAGTAGTACTATTTCGTGCGAAATGAGCCTTCCTATGCATATGAGTAAAGGGCTAGGAAAGAATCGAAACACTATTTTCACAAGCTCCGAATCGTGACGTATATCAGCCGAAGCGTTCTGTACAACTTCAGTATTTTTCTCCGTACTCATTTCACAATCTACACTGCTGAACGAATCTACTTACATCCTTCCCGAATTTTGTCAGTTTTTCACAGGACTTTTATGACACTTTCGCTACACCAGTGTGGCTCTGTCTGTGGAATCGGCATCACCATACAAGACAAACTCCTAATACACCTCCAAAGTGGTGATTGGGGTGACCCAAGGACATGGAGGGGACCACGGGAGGAGGCAACATGGCATAAATGTTGTCCATTAAATCAAGAAATGGGCGAGAGGACAGCAAGCAGCAGCAGCAAGCTGACCATCAGGCGATAGCATTCCGGCCCCGGCGTGCATGCTACTTGCGCTGATGAAGCGAAAGCGCGCTATGCGAAACGACTGTTCATCAATGTAAGTATCAAATGAAATGAAATGTGACCGATTTTTCAGGCTTATATAGCCAAATAATTAATGACGCTCTAGCCTGCCCAGTGGATGAGTCCACAGATTCCATCAAATTTTGACTGCCTTCTTTCCATGAATTCTCTCCGACGAACGGGCACATCAATTTAATGGAAAAATTCTCTCATTCTCTACGAAATAGATAGAATGGAATGGGAAGATCCGAGCCTAATATTTCATGTGGAATAAGCTAATGCGCATGGGGGACAGCGGGGGAATTGGGGGACAGTGTTTAGGATCATGTTTTATAAACAATGTGACATATTGATATCTCATGCGCTGAGAATATTTAAGGAAATTTGTCTGTGTTTCATCCCCAGCTGTAAACGCAGACAGCTGGAGGTGCGGTTAGAGAGGAAAAGGCGAAGATACATGGAAGTAGCCAGTATTCACCGCGTACTTGCAAGAATGACAATGCTTTCTTTTTATGCATTTTTTGCAGCAATGCAATGCGAAAAACGCATATTGACGAGAGGTTGTCTGTGTG